AACGTGATGGAAGAACTTTTTTTCTCGTTTTTTTTTTGTTTTTTTTTTGTTTTGATCGCGGAGATGGATGTTTGACGGATAGTGTTTGTGATTACTCGAAAAAGCGGATCTGTGTCGCGGATGTATTAAGCTGTTGTTGTTGCTGCTGTTATACGATCTGACTAATTGTTGGTCGTCACGTCGTCGCCGATCACCGACTGCGTTACTCCCGACGACGAGTGTTGTTTCTCGCGGGTCAGTCTCGGATAGTTACACATATATATATATATCGCCGTTACGTGTGTATATATATATATATATGCATGCGCGGGAACCGAAGAACGAAAAACACGTTCGTGGCCGTTGAGAGCCGTTCGCTTACTGAATCCGACGGTTGGCGTGTCCGGGCTGCTAACCCGCGCTTTCTCCCCACTACGAGGGATCGGCCCGAGTTGGCGGCAACCAGCACTTCTCCGCTAGCACAGCCCCACTCCGAGAGTCGTCGGCGACCCCACCATCCGACGCGGCGATCCGCATCCGGGAGCAGTGGTGGGACACCGCGTGAGGGGTAACTCTCCCCTGCCACCGCCGCCGCCTCCTCCTCCTCCTCCTCCTCTGCCGCCGCTGCCGCCCGCCGGTAATCTTAGGTTCGTAAAGCACGCTTGGTCCTACGGTCAAGTGCGAAAATTGCAACGAAAGCACCGAGAACCGCCTCCATCGGGGTCGCTCCCTCGGCATTCCGAGCCGAAGGGCCGACCGGGTGCAGAAGAGACGGAACGCGCCCAAAGTTTTGGAGAGAACGCCTCGAATTTACGAGTCGGTCGCTCGCGTTAGCGCGAGATTAATGACCCCGGACGGGCGCAGCTGCCGCGGATGGAAGAAGCGCAGCAAAACCTGAAAAACCGACCCCATGAATTCCGAGATGCCTCGAGATCCGCCGTTTTAAAACGAGGACTGCTCGCTTCACGCGCCTCCGCCTCCCTCCCCCGATACCTTCGCATTATCGATGGTAAACAGCGTCGACTGTTTGTCACCGTCGCGTCGCCGTTTCGTCCGCGACGATGACGACGACTTTACGTTGCAATTTCGAACGGGCGAGCGTCGGAGGGGAAGTGTATGCGATGCGCGCCCGTTCGTACTCGTGGTAGGGGCATCGCGCCGACGGTTTTCGCGCCCAGCGGACGGCGGGGGAAGCCAGGGAAACCCCACGCACGGCGCATGCACCGGTCGCGCAATTGCCGAGGAAGGGGTGGGGAAGAAAGAAGGAGGGAGAGGGGGTTCCCTCAACCACCGGCGCCAGGATCAAGCCTCCCCCCCCCGTCCCTCCCCGAGCACCCTTTCCTACGTCCGGCACAACGCGCGGCGGCTGGCTCCTCGTCGGTGCACTCTCTCGCGCATTGGAAGGGAGTGTGCACTGATCACACGCGCGGCACGGTACCCCCCCCCCCACCTCCACCTCTTTCTCTGTCTCCCTCTCTTCTCTCTCCCTGTCACCTCCTCCTCCTCCCGCCGTCCCGCGCCGTCCCGTTTCTCTCCCCCCCCCCATCCTTCTCCGTCATCTCTCTCTTTTTCTCTATCTCTCTTTATCCCACCAACTCGATGTGTTTGTTTGTTTATAGTCGCGTTCTGGGAAATACCCGATACGCGAGTAACGGAGCCTCATACACGCGCCGCGCCGCGCGCGGCCGCTTGCATTCCCATTCTGGAGTTGCATCCGGTCGGTTCTCGGATTCCTCCGAGACTTCGGAAAACGGCCGATTGGCGGTATATACGCGCGTATATACCCCGAACTCCAAACTCCCGGGACGACGTATCACGGATGCTCTTCCCGCCCTTTTTCGGTCTCTCAGTTAGGTATCTACCTGGTGCGATCCCGATGCGCCTTTCAACTTTTCCGCGCTGACGGAAAGAGCTTTTGAATAATCGTCGAAATGATAATCTACAATCAAGCAGGTATACAATGAGAATGGAATGCGTCTAGGCTAAGAATAGGAACGAAACCGAAAACAGCAGGAAAGCCAGCCCTCACGGTATTCTAAACTTTCACGCGGTCACATCCTGTGTTGTCTACGTCCTACGATTCATTCTTAAAATTCCAATACTATGCACTGAGAAAGGAAAGTTTCAAATATTTGCGATTGTAATTGTATAGTAAAATAATAATAGTTAAAAGAGTTTCATTTTTTGTAATTATATGGTATAACGTAACAGTAATATGATATTTACAGTTATATAATCGACTAAACAATATTCAACACAACAAAATGGATGAAGAAAGCTACATTCAGTCCTTGTGCCTAATAATTTAAGACTCTCTCATTAACATCAGATAAAAAATTACGAATCTCAGATATACACTGCATAAATTCACATAAAAATATTTGTGAGCTTTGACAAAAATTTCTTTCTCTCTTAATTAGATTAAATGTTTTCTCATATAAATTCGTATCATAATTGTGCCTAGTAATTTAGTTAATAGTATTTTTGTGGGAATTTTGCAACTTGAATATTTACAAATACCAAAAACTGTTCTCTCAGGGTGAAGTCCAGTTACTTCAGAGATCCACTTATAATTTATTAATATAGACAGAGTGATTGGGCGCGATCGTCGATCATCGTCGATGCGGTGGCCGCGCGCGTTCCCTTCCGTAAATCTTCCTGACGCGCCGATAGATAATCTTCTGGTGTGGTCGACGTGCGGCGGGCAGGAGGCGCGTACGAGATCGATAGCGGAGAAACACGCGGCTTATCGGCCAGACTTTTCTGAAAAGTAGTCCACCTGTAATCTCAGGAATGCACTACGTCAGCAGCAATCCGTAGTGTACGCACGCGCGCGCGTATGCCTGTCTGCAAATCGCACGACAAATATTGCACAATGATGTTGCGTAATCACGCGTAATGGCGACGCCGCGTGACCCATACGAGTACGTAGCGGAGCCCACATGACGCGACGATAACGCTGAAGATGACAGTTAATTAGAAGCCACGATGAGAGGCCCGAAAAACATGGAAGCCCTGCGGAAGGTACTTTGCGAAGAAAATCTCCCGGTGCTTGCATGAAAAAATTTCTCTTTGACTTTTTATTTCCCAATTTTTACGAATATTTTTACATATTTTATATATATATAAATATTCAGAAATTTTTATTTATTAATTATTCAAAATACATTCCATCTAAAGTAATACAGTCTTTATAGTGATTATACAATATTTTTAGAAATCTCTTTAATAAATATCTTGATCGAAAAATCTCTGTAAACATCTATAATAATAAACTTCTTTCGAAATAAGGGGAATGGCCTCGAAAAACTTTCTACACACTACTTATCTCACAATTATAAAAATTGTTTTAGAATTATCTTTCCAGCTTTATGTTCGACTTTGGAAAAAAAAAATAATCATAGGAAAAAGATAGTAAAGACGATGAATGGTTTAGGATATCTTTCAAGATTATGTTTATTTTTCTTGATAAGTGTCAAAAACGTACTTTTACTTTAAAATCATAGTAAATAAATGATATAAACAGAGAAACGTAATAGAATTAGAAATAAATTTTCATAGAGAGAATAATTCCACGCTGTTTTAATATCTAGCTTAGTTAGAAAACCTTTCGCAGAAAATAAGCTCGAAAAATTTGAGACAGACTGTGTATGTGTATAGAAATGTTAAAATGAATTAATATATATATAATATATCAAAATATTATATTGATACAACTCTATTAATTTTTATATAAAACTATATTATAATTTTATACATATAATTAGATTTTACAATCTCACGTAAAATTCTAGTCTGAGATTCTATGCTTTTCATAACGTCACACTCTCGTGCTCCTAAACAAATATGTACTAGTATGAAGGAGATTTTAGATAATGTCAAACAAAACTCTTAAACTGCGCAGCCGATCCATCGGTTTTCCTGCGGTCGGGAATACCAACTGTTCCTCTGTCTGTCTTTTCTACTTTTTATTTAATTTTTAGACCTGCGTGAAAGGCTGCTGGCAGGGGGAACGTCCATGCAACGCGATATATCAAACACCAAACGTTTCCACAGTAAGAAAGACAGAGCAAGTGATGGAGTGAGAGAGAGAGAGAGAGAGAGAGAGAGAGAGAAATCTTCGGGATGCTGCGACGCGTGCATAACAACGATATATAAACGACCGGCAATTATTCACCGAATGGTATGATAATGCTCGTGATTCGCGGAAGAGTCAATAACAACGCGGCAGATCCTCTCTTGGACTTTGTCGTCCGTGAGGCGCGCTCGTTGCATAAATAAGATATCGACGTGCGAATCCCGCGTGACGGGGCAATACTATTATTAAGCGAATAGGTCGGATATTAACAATCGTGAAAAACAATGTCTCTTCGAGAGACTGGCACAGATTAATCGGCAGCCGCAACGAATAACGAATTCAATTTTCTTCTATTGCCATTCGTGCGGATGTAAACCCACCCATACGCCTCCTAGGTTCAAAGGGCCCGGCGCCTGCATTCGCTTTCTGACCATTGACACGTGATAATGAACACAAAATATGTACGCCATGTGCTTAAGGTCCGTGGAATCATTTAAGGAAGGCCGGAAATGATAACAAAGGAACAAAAAAACAAAGAAAGTCCTTCGGAACGTTCTTCCTATTGAATTTTTTTTTGAGATAGTCCGCTCTTGGGAGGTCTCTCCTCTTGGAAGTACAGGTAAGATTGTGCGCATCTCGAGCAGGCAAAAGTTCTTCTAAAAATAATTTTACTGTTTTTATTATGGAGTTGAGGCAAGCCAAGGAAATCAATGCTGACAAGGTCCGTCAGCGGCGATATCAAGATGTTTTGAAAACAAGAATACGATAAAATATGCTCTGCAAATAACACCATCGTGATCTCACTCTCTCTTTCTCCCTCCCTTTTCCCTCTCTGCG